TTTTCAAAACACTTCCCACTTAGCCTGCGAACAGGCTTTTCCGGCCCGCATTAAAAGCCTACTAATGAGGCCGCTGCACAAGCAGATCGTGGTAAAGAAATGGCCGGAAATTGGGAAAAAATCCCCAGCGTGGTGTTGTTTACGACTGTTACGGAAGCTGAAATATACAAATAGTTTCAAAAATGTTTTCGTTGTTCTTGTTTTTTTGGTCAACTTTTACGTTTTATTTAATGTGAACTTATTCAATTCGCATGAAATACTTAAGTATTTAAAACACGAGCAGGAGTGCTTTATCAGATATAAAAAAAATAAAAAACGACCTATTTGATGAGTTCATTGGCGAAGTAATTTTTAAAAAAACGTTTTCTAAGCCGAGAAAATCAAAGCTAAAGTTTATGTCAACGAACATGATTTTTTATCACATATAAAACCATGCACCGACACGGAAGTGATTTCTTTTTGTATTTTCCTCATGAATTACTAATGAGTTTTTGAAGTTAATGTGAGTGTAAATCGGCAGAATTTTATCAGATATACAACCTCTTGCACAGCCATTATTAATTCCTTTTTCGTGAACTATTTATCTGAATTACATATTTATAAGCAGCCATATTTTTAAACTTGCGTGTTGGTCTAATCAATGATGTTCTGTGAGTAGGTAATGGTATGAACCACACCAATTTGTAACTGAAAACTTTACGTCCAATTTTTCAACTAGGAAAATTAAATTTTTATTTACAAATTTACCTTAAACATAAAAGGCGGGTAGACTAGGCTAGATAATAGGACATTTAATCCCTTACAACAATTTAATTTTAATAGACATATAGTCCCCTACAAGATTTTACTTTACCTTGTTTAATTGTGAACTTACTTGTTCGTTGGGTTGTTGGAGCAACTGTCATTTTTGGTACATTGGATTTTGCTATGAGAAAGATCACTCGCCAAGTTAACTACAAGCATTTAACCATTAATTTTAAAACAGTTAACTACTTTGTGGAACAATTTTAATTCCGTGCAAACTTACTTATCGCTTTAGTTGTTGTTACATCTATTTCTCTCTGCGTGGATTTATCTATAGAGATGAACACATTAGGCAAGTTAACAATACACGGACATTATGTTTTAGACAGTTGTTTTACATTGTCAACTTACTTTTTAGCTGCGGCTGGGTTGTGGAAGCATCTGTTCTTTTCGGTGTAGAATTATCTATATAAACGAGATAATATATTAAGCAAGTGGTATACCACTAGGTTTCTGTCTTGGTCGGTCCAGATTTTGCAATATAATTCTATAGAAGACTGAATTGGAATCTAACTGTAATATATTCACTTAAAAACATAAAAAGATGAAAATGGAATCTTACCTTTATTCTTTGTGATCATACCTGTTGGTTGAGTTGTCGACGTTGTAGACCTACTATCCGTCTTTTTCGGTGTAGAAGGTGCTATAATTGTGCTATAATAGTGCTTTTTCAGTGTTGCTGTAATGAGATAGGTAATATTTAAAATCATAACGTGTACTATTCTTAGGATAAAAGGATGAACACAGAAGTTTGGCATTGACTCGTTCAGCACATACTTGTTGGTGGAGTTACTAAACCAGCTTGTGTTTTCAGTTTAGATGTTGCTATACAGAGACAAGTAATATTTAAAATCATATCATTTAATATTTTTGGTATAAAAGAATGATTGCAGGAGTTCTGCATTGACTCATTTAGGGACGCCGGAGCGATAAAAAGGGAGGGGGGGGGCTGATTATTTCAAAGGGCACTTTACCTATAAATTATTGTGAAACTAATTTTCCGGCTTTTAGGCAATTTTAGTACGTATTACAGAGAAAATAATATCCGTTCAACAAAGCTGTAATCAGATCAGAAACTTTAATCATTAATCATTAAAGTGGTTAATACCTAGTTACTAAAATAGAGACACATTTTTCTGTAAACATACTAACATTCAAAGATATGTACTGTTCACCACCATGTACGTGATTACGATAATATCAAAATTAAAAATATCGAAATATTAAATTCACATGATATTGTATCCAGTATGGCTTCAATAAGTACGCAAACAATTGACAAATAATGGAATATTCAAGTACGTATTGCTATTTAATTATTTACGTACGCAAGTATGTACAATAACTGCTCGCAGCTCTAGTTCTAAGAGTTAGTTTAATACTTTCCAAAGTATTTAATTCGCCTTTCATTTTTCTCGGAAAACTCTCTGGCAACCTGATCTATGTCAACCATATCGAGGTATCCTTTCTCAATGTTAGCAAACATAATGTTAATATGATGATTTCCCCCAGAGTTGGATCGCAGCCAGGTTTTCAGCCGACGCATGCAACTAAATGTGCGCTCACAGGAAGATGAGGGGAGTGGCACGGTGTAGTACAGCATAATCAGTTTGGGAACTTCAGAGCACTGTTTCTTTGCTGCAGGTATTGCATTGAAAATCTCAGCAATTGTCGAAATCTGAGTGACATCATTTATCCTTTTCTTTTGCTCCACGTTAGATAGGCCAAGGAAACAACAAGCTTTCTTGTAGCATTTAAATTGAAGATTACATTCAGGGAAGACAAATATGACGCTCCAGAATTCCACGAACTCCCGCTTTGGTATCATTGCTGACGGAGGGATCCTTAGTGGAATTTCTGATGTCGCACGAAGGAACACAACGTCTGCCGCTTTACCCTTGTTTTCCACCTTGTAGCGGAAAGGCCCTGCAGTCGTAAAATATTGTAGCCAGCCTCATTGCTATTTACTTCATTCTCAAAATCGTTCTGTATTTCCTCGAAAACACGATACGTTTTGGATTAGCACCCACAATGGCGTACAACGACTGGCACAAATGAAATGATGTGGACAACTAGTTGGACAGCTTCATGGCATCCTTAACATTCAGTTGATTGTAAGGCCGGCGCACACTAGAGCTATGTGCTTAGCAAAATGTCATTCGTGACTGTTGGCGTAAGGAGATAGCTCTCGTGTGCGGGCGATTTACGAACGACTTTTGTCATTCGTGCCACTTACGCCAAATATCTAACA